CCGTGGCTCTATCCTCATTCCTAGACAGCCACACCAGAGAGAGCTGCCTTCCTGACCATCGCTCAGACATGGGAAGCCATCGCCGGCCTTGCCGTCACATTCCTTCATTCATTCTCTCATTCATTCCCTCCTCTGCTACTTTGTGTGCACAGAAAAATGCCTCAAGCAACTGCTCTGAAATGCACACCTCTCAGGGAACACAGTGGGTGGGATCCTGCGTCTGTGGGCTGCTCTGTGGCGACAGCATCCTCCGTCTGCGTCTATGTGACTCTCAGTGTTTATGACACCTATCCTGTCTGTGGGCTCCTTTGTGTCTGTGGGACCCTGTGTCTGCTGAATCATCTGTCTGTGTGTTCTTCTGTGTCTGTGGGGTTGTTTACGTCGGTTAAAGCCCATGTCTGTGGGGACCCATGTCTGTGGGGTCCCGTGTCTGTGTGGACCCGTGTCTGTAGGTTGTACATCCTCAAATTCTAATGAGTAGGAATCAAAAAAAATATTTGGAAAAATCGCATTTATACTGAGCATGTACAGACATGACTCTCTTCATCCCTTAAACGGGGCAGTCTAATGGCTACACAGCAGATACCACGTGTTCGGTTTTGTGAGTCAGCCAGGGGGATGTGTGTAGGCTCCATGCAAGTGCTATACCGTTGTCTGTAAAGGGCTTTATGTTAAAGGCATCCATAGGGTTCCTGGGCCTGATGGCTCACGAGCGCTGTGGGACACATGCACAATGTGAACCACGTATGGAATTCTGGACTTCAATAACTACATTCCCACGGTGAAATGAGGGCCAGATCTGTGGCTCGGGGGGTGGAGTGTTTGCCTGCATGAAGTCTAGGTTCAGACCCCAGGACTGCAACATAAAACAGATGAAAGGAATTGGTAAATGCAACCGACAGTTACTCCTGCCAACTTAGGGTCATCTCAGTGTGTGACCATGGAGCTAGGAGTAAGGTGTTTGGCCTTCTTTCTCTGGCATAGAGTCCTTGCAGTTGGGATACTTTCCTTCATGTGCTTAAACACTTTGTAGCCATTGGTCCAACTCATGGGAAGGTGTGGGTCCTCACACGCTCACAGTTCAGTAGGGAGCATAGGAGTGACACCTTCCTGTGGAAGGCATTAGGACTGGACAAAGGTCAGAGTGCCCGGATGTTCCAGCTGCTGTAGCCAGGGCTAGCCCCTCTGAGCTCAGCAGAGTCTATGGCAAGACCAAGGTAGAGGCTTCTGCTGGGAGGTAGGGCTGCAGTCAGAGGCCTATAGGAGGAGTCTGAGAACGGGGATGCTTGGGTGGGGGGCTGTGCTGGGCCAACCAGAGTCCTGCCTCTATGCCACCCGCACTCCTGTGTTAGCAGGAGGAGTAGGACCATGACCTTCCCACCAGAAATCTGTTGTCAGATCTTGGGATGGGATGGGGCTTCCTCAACCTAGATACTCCAATATGGGAGGCTTCACCCCTCTTTCTGAGGGGGGCCAACTGTCACACCCCATGCTCCACTCACATGGCCTTGGTGCTGGGGGAGGTAAGGATCAGTTCCTTCCTGCTTTCAGACAGTGTTATTAAGGTGTGATTCACACACCACACAATCTACTCATTTAAAACATATGGTCTGGGGGGGTGTAACCCAGATGGTAGAGTACTTCCTGCCTAGAGTGTCTGAGGCTGTGGGTTCAATTCTCAGCACAGTATGAAGTAAGCATCCTGGTGCCTGCCTGTAATCCTGGCACAGCACTCGAGAGGGAGAGGGAGGAGGATCAGGAGTTCGAGGTCAGCCTCCTATATAATGAGCTCCAGGCTAGCTTGGGCTATAAGAGACCATGTCTCAAAAACTAAAAAAGAACAAAGCAAACAAGTAAATAACAAAATGGATAAACAGCAGCGTTTAGTCTGATCAGGTATACGCATCCATCACCTTCAGAACATTTCCTCCTCGCTGGCGGGAAAGAAATAGTGCCCGAGCTCCCCTACCTCTCTCTGTGCAGCCTTGCGGTCTTTTGCCGTCTCCCTCTCCGGCTTTGCCTGTTCTGCGTTGTTTACCAACATGAAGTCACACTGTGTATCTGCTGGGAACAAGGTTCAGAGTTTCATCCACAGGCTCGCTATGTAGTTACAATCCTATGTCATCACAGTCCTATGATATCATCATAGACCTTTGTTATCACAGCCCTATGATGTCATCACAGTCCTATGATGGCATCACAGTCCTATGATGTCAATGCAGTCCTATGATGTCATCATAGCCCTCATTGCCAGTGCTCTTCTAACTCCTTTGTCCACTTGTCCGGGGTAGGGGTGGAGGGGCTCATGTCCTATGGCACAGGAAGTTGAGAGGGTTCGGGAGCCTGCCCAGGACTAGGGAGGATACAGTGGTCAGGGTCTGGACTCAGCCCCTCTGTGGATAGATGGTTTTTAACTATGGAAATGGGTCCCCCAGCCAAGGTCTATCCATCCAAGTCCAGTAGGTCCTTGCATACTGGGGAGAAGGTGGGACTTAACATTGGCTCCGCTCAGCTTTTGCTAATATCTGCACTGCATGGCAGCAGCTGGCTGCCCCGGTGTCCCAGAGCTGGTAATCTCTGCCTGGTCCTCAGTCTCAGGGTGCAGTGGACACAGTTTCGGCAGGAGACAGAACTTGGTTCTGAAGAGATGGTTCAGTGGTTAAGAGCACTTGCTTCCCTTGGAGGACACAGATTTCTTGTCAATGCATGACCACCCATAACTCCAGTTCCAGGGGATTCAGATACCCTCTTTGTGATTGAACTTGGGGTTACACCTTGTGTCCTGAGCCAGCTTTGGCCACCCATACACAAGAAATCAACTGAAGAAGGCAAATGAAGACTGGAAAATTTATTCAGTGTGGCCACACAGGCAAGCAGGACAAAGAGAGCCACGAAAGTTTGGCTCCAGGGTCCAAAATGAAATCAAAACTTAAATAGTGGGTCAGGAATTTGCATATCTAAGCATCCTGGTCAGGGCACGACCCAGCTCTCACTAAACTTCAGCCTCAGACAGGGCAAGTTTATGTGAAATCTTTTTCTGAGCTACAAGCGGTCTTGAGGCCTTTTCCTTCTCCCACCGCGAGATTCTTGTGGTGGGGAGGTGGAAGGTGCGAGGAGAAATTCCCATTTCTTTGGGGTCCATTGTTTTACTACTCTGACAGACTGAGAGGCACGAGTCTCTCTTTAGAATATCTTCATTTCAGTAACACTCAGGGGTTGGGTGATGCCGTGCTGGCTTGCTTCCACATGGGGCCTGCATGTGGCGTGCATACACACATCCAGACAAGCACTCATACACATAAAATTATATATATATATATATATATATATATATATATATATATATATATATAAATATAATCGCAGCACTCAGGAGCAGAGGCAGGAGGATCTCACTGAGTTAAAGGCCGTACTGGTCTACAGAGCTAGTTCTGGGACAGCCAGGGCTACATAGAGAATCCCTGTCTTGAAAAACCAATCAATTAAGAAGTAAATAAATCTTAAAACCAAACAAACTAGAACCTGTCTCTGGCCTCTTTTCTCCTGAGTTCCCTGATCCGTCCTCTGAGCTGGTCCTCCTCCTGCTGGACAGCCTTTTGTAGGACCTTCCTTCCTATATTAGATTCCGTCTAGTGTTTTCCCGTCAATCAAGGACTCACAGTGGACCACTGAGGCCTTGGCATCACCAGTTACTTTGTATGACTGCCCTCCGTGTGAGGACTGAGGGACAGGAGGGGCTGAACACAAGGTCCCCAAGAGGAGGGAAACCTGTGGTCTGGAGCCGTGTTGTCTGGGGACACTTATTGCTCTGGAACTTAGAGGCAGTAGGCTAGTGGGAGGGGACATAGAAGACAAGACTCCAGGTTCAGAGGCCTCTCCGAAGGGGCAACAGGGAAAGGGGGGCACTTTGCACTGTGATCTCATTTCTTCACCATCTATCCAGTCTCTGTTATGTTGCTGGCTACCTGGAGCCAGTCATTTCCCCCTCGGAGTCTTAGGGTCCTCGTCAGTGAAGTGGGAACAGGTGGCAATACCCACTTCAGGCCTGTGGAGGTCCATCTGAGTTTGCAGGAAAGCTCATCAGAGCAGAGAGGATCAATTAAGCAACTCAGTTAGGGACCCACTCTGACCAGCATCAGCCATTGGTACTATCCTCTCAAATCGTTCTTGTTTTGATGCCTTTTGATGTGGACCGGGTGGTCTTCCAGTCTTCCAGTTGATAGCTGGTGAGATACCCATGGCAGAGAGGTGGGGCCTCCCTAAAGTTCCTGGGCCAGTGGGGTAGTTGATTCAGAGGAAAGGCTGGAAGGCCTGGGCTGCCCTAGAGAACCAGCAGGGGTTCTTGGAGGAACTGCCCCGACCCTGGAGGAATGGGGAACTCATTGTAATGGAGATAAAGCCAAGGGCTTGAAGAAATTCCTTTGAAAATGGCTGTTGGGACCTCTGGGGACTGATGGCAGCCTCACCTCTGTCCATCACTCAGAGGGCTGGACCTAGGAGTCACATCTGGCCTTCCAGGGCTTCTGGGCACCCATGCTCTAGAACCCAGTGCATCCCCACCCCACCCTTGCAGCCAGGCTACAGGCTCTCAGAACTTTGATCTTTGCGGCCCTCCAGCCCCTGTGCTGCCCCAGGAACACAGTGGAGCCCACCAGGGTCTTGGGTTGGGAACCTTCCCAACCAAATAGCTCCCCTCCAGGTAGGTGTGCAAAGCCCCAATCCACCTTGCTGGCAGCTGGGTGGATCCCCAGAAGCCCTGGCACCCGGGAGGCAGGCAGACGGAGGGGGCAGGCGGGAGAGGTGAATATGCGTTTATCCCAACACAAGTAGTGACCTGTTGGGGTGGGGTGGGGGCCCCAGGAAATATTTGGGATGACTTGGAGCCGGCTGGCCCTTTAAGGCTCCTGTAACAAGACACCTCCCCAACGGGACAGGAGCTGGAGCTGGGGCTTCCACCTTAGCCCTTGTTTCTCCCCTCCCTCCTCCCCCTTCCCTGCCAGGCCCAGTTCAATTTGCTCAGCAGCGCCATGGACCAGATGGGCAGCCGCGTGGCCCCGGCCAGCCCCTACACCCCGGAGCACGCTGCCAGCGCACCCACCCACTCGCCCTACGCGCAGCCCAGCTCCACTTTCGACACCATGTCTCCAGCGCCTGTCATCCCTTCCAACACTGACTACCCTGGCCCCCACCACTTCGAGGTCACCTTCCAGCAGTCCAGCACAGCCAAGTCGGCCACCTGGACGGTGAGTAGCCGTGTTGTCAGTGGGCATCTGGAGGGCGGGCAGCAGGGTGGAATACCACGGTCCTGGCACCGAGGTCTGTCTGAGCACACATGCTGTCCACATGGGGTTCCCACCTGGCCAGAGCCAGGAGGAGCATCAAGCAGGAGGCGGGTTCTGGGGCTGGGCAGTGTGGGTGTGCCCACCCCTCGGACGTGTGGCCAGAGTCAGCCAGCCTCCCATGGGTCCAGAAAGGTCGGGAGTGTTGCAATCAATGAGATCCATGGGGCAGGGAGACTGGCCGGCTTTTTTGTGCTCGGTGCCTTGGAATCTATCCTGAGCTGAGTCCCGCACCTCTGCTGAGTCTTGGGGGCCCACATGATCCTTTGGAGGCTGCCTCCTCCAGGTGGTGTGGTTGCTTGCTGGTTGTGGACCGAATCTCCAGGAGTGTAAGCATAGTTTTGGGAGCCCTGGTCCTTTCTCTGAGGCCTCTAGGAACAGTCTGGTTTGTGGCTGGGAATTAGCTGATGTTGTCAAAACCCACCCCCTGCGCGCTGACTGCAAGTTGGGTAGCCAGCTAAGTGCTTTGACTTGCCCAAGGTGGAGTCTGATCTTGTCCCCATTGTACAGCCAGGGAAGCTGAGGTGTGAGAAGGGAAAGTAGCCTGCTCTGAGTTGTGCAACTAATAATTAGGTGCTGGACTTGGAGTTCAGGGGTCACTGCGATGAGCCTCTTAACCACTGAGCATCCAGGTTGTCTCTGGGAGCAAGGGCTGCAGGAGGAGCAGAATGAGACGTGCGGGCCATACGAGGCGTTGGGTAGGAAGGGCAGTCCCAGGACCGTCCAGCTGGGAAGAGGGAACCCTGCACCGGCTGGGCCAGTAGGAGGTGCACGGAAGAATACTGGGTTGTCCAGTGGTCCACTGAGCAGCAGCATCCACCCTCTGTAGCTGGAGTTGGGGCTGGGGCCGTCTCTGCAATGCAAGCTTTGTCTCTCACCTCTCCTCCTCAACGGGCGCAAGGCCCCTCCCAAGACTCCTCTCCAAAACCCAAGTCCCACTGGGGCGGCTTTCACCTTCTCTCTGGAGACTGAAGAGCTGGACAGAGCCAGCCCTGTATGTGGCCACAGAAGATCAGTCTAGTTGGCCTGGGTCTGGTCTCAGTCCTTGACCTCCTGCGGTTTCTTTTGGCTACTGTTCTTGGTGGGCTCCCCAGCGTCTGGTCCATGGTTAACTGATGGCTCAGCCCAACTGCTGTGGCTCTGACGGGCTCCAGTGAATCAAGAGGGGCTGGGTGACTATAGACAGTGGCTCATCCTGAGTTTCTCTCGTGCTCCATTCTCCCCAACCACTGACTGAGGGGCGGTGGTAAGCGTCCAAATGAGACGAGACCGGTACAGCACACAGATCTTACTCTTGTCCTGGGGCAGTGGAGATGAGGGAGCCATCCCGTGTGGCCTCCTGAGTTGGCTTTTCTATAGAACTGTTACCCTTGCTGAAGGTCTCTTCTGTGTTTGTAGCTGGGCTGGGGTGGGGTAAACCACAGATTCTTCGTCCAGCCCAGCTCCTGACTTGGGGTGAGGTCAGGAAGCCTGGGAGAGACATGGGTAGTGCCAGTGACAAGAGGCTCTCCACACTGCTCTTCCACTTTCAAATGTCTTCCCTAAGTCCGCCTTCTCCTCTTAGGGTGAGGTGGGGATCTGGTCTGTCATAGAGGTCTGGTGGTGCCTGGAGGAACCCCCTAAACCCTGGGGAGGCAGCAGCTTGTAAAGCTGCCTCCCTCCATCTTATTTGCCTGAGGATGTTGATTGGGCCAGTCTCTGGCATGTCTGAGGGTTCAGGGTACCTCAGATGGTCAGCGTTGGTCTTTGAGAGGGGCAGGCAATGCCCTCTCTGCTGGCTTCCTCCTTCCACTTGGGGCCTCTCTGCAGCCCCTTCTGAGGTGTCTGACACTAAGTCTCCCATAATGATTTGTTTCCTGCTGCCCTGCTCTAACTGTCCTCATGGGATGGTTTGCTCAGACTAGAGACAGTCCTGGCTGGCCAGACTTGCCATGGATCACGAAAGGCTTGGCCTCCCCACCTAACCTTCACCCAATGCCGGGGGCTGCAGAGCTGAGTTATCGGGCAGGGGGATGCTATTTCCCGCACCCTCCCAGCCCTGCCACACAGGGGGCGGAGGTGGGACCAACATTGATAATGAGATTTTTTGGCACCTTGGCCATCTGGGAGCAGACACCCAAGGGCTTTTCTCAATGCCTAGGGAAGGGCTGGTAGCGGCTGCTCTCGGCTCTGGGGGTCCAACTGTGTGTGCGCTGCCCAGACTTGCCCTCTAGGCTTCTGCACCTAGGCCTCTGCCACACCACTGGCTGGTAACTGATAGATAACTCATATTTTTCTCAAGTACAATTCCATATTGACTGTTGCCTTCGTTCCTCTCAGATTGGCAAAAAACACCCTCACTGGCCTCCAAGTGACCACAGCTGTTAATGGGGCCTTTGGCCTTGGCCTGGCTGAAGTCACCTTTCCAGCCCCAGAGGATCTGCTTGCCCAAATCAGCTTCCCTCAACCTAAAAATCTGCTTGTGTAGTAAGAGGTCTGGGCCCTCAGTTCATAGTCCTGCATGAATGTACACACACGTATGTTTACATGTGCTCAGGGTCCCATATGGGTGGACACTTAGGTACACAGATGTGTGTAGTGCATGCACATGTATCTATAAGCACACAAGGATGTAAACATACTTGGGCTCAGGCTATATATGTGTATACAGAGATGCACGCACATACACCAGTAAACACGGGCATGCCAACAAATAGGAGTGAGCATGCAAGCACACATGCTGGGCTCCCTGGTTGCTGTCTTGGGTTCTGACAGCCCCTTTCCTCAGGCAAGGCTGAGCAGTGAGTGGATTGGCCAGAAGAGGGCTTTATTTTTGGGTGTGAGATTGTGGACACCTGGTCTCAGGAGTCCCTCAACACCGGAGGAAATGGAACAAACAAGCATGATGCGATGGGCGTCTAGCCGCTGTCCAGCTCCAGCGCAGCCCCTTCATGCTGCCTTCATCTTGCTTACAGGCTGTCTTCAATATTGGAGGCATTGAGAGAGAAAGAGAGAGAGAGAGAGAGAGAGAGAGAGAGAGAGAGAGAGAGAGAG